CATAATATGATATCAAAACTTTGATATAGAACTGATTTGAACCCTTCACTTAATCATAAAGAATCATATATGTGAAAAGATAAAAAGAAAGTCCCGTGGTACAAAATAGTTCCCACTTTTAAAAACTGATACGCGCTGGCATATTAGCCTATAATACAAGCTCAAGTCTACCAAGACGGTCTTCATCACCGATATGCTTGATCCAAATTGGAAGCTGGGGAACCCTGCATGATCACCAAGATAAGTATGTTTCCACAGCATGCAAACACAACATATGCCGATCAGATTTGCACATACAATCAGGTTCCAGGCGCTGCCCGGTAAATCTCTATGAACGCCTATGAACGCACGCACGGCATGTACTTCTCCTTTTATTTCCACACTGTATCTTCGACCTTGGTTTTAACGGCCCGAAGAAGTAACCCGTGATGCGGGAGTAATAACGGTTGGTGAAAAAGATAGATTTGCATGTGATGTTTTGAGTTCTTGCATCCGAAGGAATACATTGCAGATGCAATATGATGGGACCTTGGCGAGATAAAGCTTGATGCCCATTGTTGGGGAAGGTTGTGATTTTCGGCAGATCTTCTGTTGGGTGTCATGCGAATCATCATCTTCGAAGATGTCATCGATGGCGCGAGTAGTATTGAGAATGGATCTGTGCTATAAATTTCGAAAGCACCTTCCCATTGATGCTGATAGTAGGGTAGCATAGTTGCTATCAAAATTTCATCCCTATGCACATCTCCCATGTGTATGGGTTGTCCAAAACTTACGTGCGAGAAAATGGATCGTTCTTATCAGAGATGTCGCGATGCCCAAGGTGGACTTCACACGATATAGCTGTGAAGATTTGAAGAAAGGGCCGAGTCTTCGATCTCAATGAAAATATCGAGAAATAGTACATATGATTGCAACCTAGTCTGGCCATCAGATATCGCAATTGGCTAAGAGCTGGAATCCAAAATGGATAACAAAGCAATATGTCAAGCTAGGTGTCTTTTTGATGCGGGTCAGTTTATACTTCCACTAGTGACACTAGTTGATGAGCGACAAAATATAACAGCGAAAACAATTTGTTGCCGGCAGCCGGTGATTTATGACTAGACAACAATCTTCCGGCAATAATCGGAATTCAACCCTCAATATGTAGTTGAAATCTATCCTACCAGTATGAGATAGCAATAAATCACGAGTGTGTTGTGGTGGTAGTAGAAAAGGGAAAAGCTGGAAATCTGTAGTGATGGCGATGAAGATGCACGATTTGCGCACAGTGAATTCAAAAATCTCGAGGATCTAGTCTGATAGATCTTCTGCATTTTCAATTGCCTGTAGAGTCTCCACAATCATCCACAGTACCTCTACAAACATCTAAATCTAACGTCTATAATCATTTTTGATCCTGTAATCCTTATTTGGCCCTTTCACACTGTATTCCTGTCTCCACTCCTCTACATTGACCCCCTTGAATCTAAACTCATATTCCACATCATACGTATCAGCAATACAAAGATGACTTGACTTTGCTCTCCATCCCATAATCTTTGCCTGTCCATCCCTCTTATCTTGGACTTCGGGAATTAAAATCTCCATCTCATGAAACAAATAATCTACACCCAGATTATCATCAGTTTTGACAAACCAGAGACTAAGCGTATCAGTATCCTCTCTATATCGATATACGTATCTTCTACTGGCTTTAAACGTCATTCCTGTATCCGTTACGAAGTCTCCTTCTTCGATATACAAGTATTCTGAATCGAAAGATGGGGCGGTAGGGAAGCGAGGGAGAAATTTCGCGGTTCCGGTGAAGGTACCTGAGGGGAAGGTGGAAAGAGAACTTTTTAGAGAGCGGGAAAGTCTCCATGTTCCTTGAAGGGAACGGAATATGGCCTTGGAGACGAAGGCTCCGCGTGTGGAGGAATTGAATGTGGAAGAGATGGCAGAGAGAGCGAGTGCTGCTTGTTCTTTCTGATCAGGACTTGCGTGTGAATAAATATAGCGGGATGGAAGCACGATTCCTGTACGCGCTTCTGGGTCGTCTGTGGCTTCTTGCCGCTTGATCCCGACGGCTGTGGCGAATGATTCCATTAGGTATGCATAATCACCCATTGGAAATTGAGCGAGTCGAGGATCAGTGCGTAGCTGAAGAAGTTCGTCAAGGCTATCGTCTAATTCTAGGGTTTTCTGTGCATGTGCGTCGCCAGACCAGAGTTTTCCCAGGAAGCGAGCTTGCATTTCCATGACGCCCCAATAGGGACTCCGGTAAAACCCTACAAAGCCGAGAGAGGGAATCTTTGCATTGACTGTAGAGTGTACGTTTAAGGCCAGCGGTAGTTTGCTGCTTGATGGATCAAACGAGAGATGTTGGAGGATTTCCTTGGGCAGGAAATCGAGTGATGGAGATGCATCAAAACCAGTTGCCAAGATTACTGCTGCAACATCGTTAATTACCTGTTTATTTCCGTTCTCCTCGACAGTGATGGAATTCGATTGATTGGGTTCTGCACCAATCACCTTTCCTCGGATCGTTTTGATATCTCCAGCTCGGACAAACTCGACATAGTTGTCACTAACTGTAAGTCGTGGTGGTTCAGAGCAAACATCTCCTGCTATTGCTAGATGATCTGTACCTATTCCGCTCTGGTCTGACCCCAGATAATTGTTCAAGAATCCGTTAGTTGTTTTTGCCATCTCTGGTGATATGTGGCCAGATGAGTTTTTTATAGGCCCAGGAGGTTTCCATCCAAGATTGTACATGACCAGATCGAGAGGCAAAAATTTAGGTGCTGGATTTGGTATCTGAAGCGAGCGTTAGCAGCAGTCGGTTCCAATTATTAGATATGTGTTAGGTACCTTTTCAGCTTCGGGCTTTGCACCATCAATGTTCGGGTTATTTGGTAGTGTCAAGGTCATCACCCAAAATGGCTGTTGAACCACATTGTAGATCTTGTATTCTTTTGCATTTGGAATCGAACGTTCGGTTGAGTTCACGGAAGAAGATACTTGCAAAGCTACTGCTGCTGCGGTTTCAACACCAGACATTTGCCCTCCAACAACCACGATGTTCTTGCCCTTGGGTGAAGAGAGTCTTCCATTGTCGGTCAACGCACTATTGATATCACGAAGGTTGGAACTGTGCCAGACTGGAGCTGGAAAATTTGCAAGAGTATCGGGTATCTTAGGCTTTCCAAAGAAACCAGTGGCCACAATTACTTGATCGAATTCGTAAACCTGCAGGGATTCGGTAGACTCAGTATGTTGAACATGCACATTCCATTTCCCTGGCGTAGCTGAAGTGGTTTGCCAATTGTATGGCGGTTCAACCTTGGCGACTTTGACACCCATCTTGATAGAATATCCAGGGTACATTTTGATATAGTCTTCGAGGTACTTTCCAACCTGCCATGCTTTCGGAAAAGCAGGCGATGAAGCAGACCATGCCAAGTCACTGAAGCTGACTGTATGACGACTTTGGTTCGTACACATATCTGGATTCAATAGACCATGATCATCACGAGATATAGGCCATAATCCACCTATTCTCTGCGACTGCTCAAAGACTGTCACGTCAAAGGTGCCTTTTGGATGATCGTGAGTGAGTGTTTTGGCTGTTACGAGCCCTGATGGACCAGCGCCTAATCCGAGAATGTTAGCCATGAATACCTCGAAAGATGAGTGCACTCACCAATCACACATACAGTCTTCGTTCGAGTTGACATTTTGACAAGTGTGTAGCTTGCACGCATAGAAAGCTAGGGGATCCGGATTTCAGCTTGTCAACTCGGAACCTCACAATTTAAAGACAATGCAACCAACCAATATATTAACAGCTTAGTGATCTCAATAGCTGATCTGTAGTGTGCATCATATTACTCTTTTAGTACAACTTTTGGGGAGATTTTGTCGCTGCGCATTTCATAGCTAGTTGGAGATCTGACGCGCATGATCACGTTTCAGCGTTTTCAATTAATAGTCACGTGAAAGTTCGCGATAGGCTCAAATGATTGGAACCGATCCCAAGGTGAGGCTATTCCCTAGACAGTTTAGCTTTAATAGAAAGTGTGCTGTGCACGCAGAGTCTGGCCCAGAATGACCCCAGAGTCCGTGCCACTTTCACCCCTCTCTACGTAAGCAAAAAAACAGGCGGGAATTGACCATCATTCGAAAGACCTTCAACAACTAATAAGATTTCTTTTTAATCCTAATATTAAATACTAAAAACACTTGATTTCAATATAAAGAAGACTCAAATTTTTGTTTGCTTTTTTCAAATTTCAATATTTAATATAAAATGAATTTATAATCTATTAAAAAATATCTTTGAAAAGTACTCAATTTCCGCCTGTTTTTTCGCTTACGTAGAGCCCCTCTCTCCAACAGATTCCGAACAATTCAAATCTACCTACGATACTAATAATTCAATATATGGTTATTTATGTTGAATATTATGATTACTATATAATAATATAGCACTTTTAATTTTAAGGACGAATCTTCGCCGTGAGTAATTGTGTTCAGCGAGTCTTGATAAAGCACAGTCAACATTTTCATCGTGGTCTGAGATTAATACGAGTAGAAAGATAATCTTAGCAGAGTGAAGCTATTTCATTATATACGGAGGTTGACAGCGTAAGTCGTATAAGCCTCATTTTTAATAAAAATTACTGTTTTACGAAATTCCAATACTGCTTTTACTAATTTTATTAGATATTCAGTTATCCCTTTAAAATTTCGAATTTTGAACTTCTTTATTCAAATTTTCAACTTTTTTTTAATTTTTGTAATTTTAAAGCTTTTGAAACTTTCAAAGTTTCTTATAGATTCTAAATAAATTTAGAATAATATTTTTAAAAAATAAAATATAAATTTTAATAAATTTAAATGATTTTGTTAAGAATAGAATAAATTTACAATACTTTTATTATTTAGAATTCACCATATAAATTTTCAATTAGTATAATAATATAATTAATTCAAACAATAAAAATAGAAAAAAGCTCGATTGCTTTTTGATATGTTTTATAATACTTACACCATCAACCTCCGTAACATAATTGGGCATTTATGGAATAGATTACTCAAGAACTTGATCATGTTACGATCAAAAGCAGAGGTATCGAGGTCTAGCTCTTTTTTTTCTTTCAAACTTGTTTAGAACATCCATACAATGTAAGCATGACCCTTCCAAAGGTATATCTTTTCTTGAAAGGCAATCGTGAGACTTTTTGTGGCGCGCCGACCAGCTCTGAGGTCCCCGGAGATCATGTAGAGCCGCTTAGATAACTGCGTCGGGTTCAGTCGTAGATTTATTTGGCTTGGGAAACTGTTTGAAGATGGGAATGGCAGTCAAGGCTGCGGTAATCATGAATAATAGAAATTCGAGCGCTCCAAAGACTGTCGCCACGATGAGGATCCTACATGAGTTTCTTCCCGTCGAACATGTGTCGGTTGAAATTTGAACAGCTACAGCAATGAAACCAGCGAGCCATGAGAGAACAGCCACAGTCTCGACGGCAACGTGAATGTAGCCAATCAACGCACCATCATGGAATTTGATCCTAGCAATGGTGTGGAAGATGACAGTTAGAAACGTCCAGCTAGCGCAAAACATTAGAAAGCCCCATGAATCAGGGATGCCGTAGTAATCGTAGAAGCTGCCGAAGTCGAAGTGTTCGTAGACAGTGTGGCCGCGAAACACATGAATAGCTAAGCGACGTGATCAGACTCAGCAGTGCATCTACAAACTAGGAAAAATGATTCCACGCACCGTAGCCGTCAGTTCCCATAACGATGATGGCGAAGATAAGCTGCAGTACTCGTAGGACATGATCAAGCATTCTGTTCGTCAAATTCACGGTCATTATATGTAGCAGTCTATGGTCGAATAGATCACGGTAACGGACACCGGCGGATACTTTGTATTGCGGCTGTCAAACGAGTCAGCGAAACGTCCATACTATAAGTAGAGAACATCCCAACCTAAATATGGCTTGGCAATAATACTGTTAAGCCTTTTGGATGGAGATATAAACTTGTGTTCTTGTGTAAAATATGTCAGGACTTCTCTGAAAGGTGGTGAGCTGAGCAGATGTTTCGCGTTCCAAGACAGCAAAGAGAATATGGATATTGCAAGCCTTTATAGGTATCAGTGACTAGATCCATGATTTCTCACGAGTACTCTCAAGTGCGTAGGATTTCTGAAAATGGCTTCCTATTGTGGTGTCTACCTACTTCCTACGAAGCATTGGAAAATCCTCTTGTGGTCTTGAACATACACAGCCATGCGAGCGTGCTTACTCATCTGCTTATGTAGTCATATTGATCTATTCTGATTCGTCTGTTCGTAAAAACTTAAAAGTGGCTCCTCGCTTGGTCGGGATGCTATGTGATGAGCATCTATTACCGCTAGAAGTCTTGAACTTTGGAATGAAATCTAATCTTCCCTTCCGGTTTAGAATTCAATCAATATTATTTTCATATCCAAACTCATGCCGGAAACAATTTTTATTCAACTCTCTTTATAAAAATCTAAATCCTGCTTTAAATGAAGGGGTTTAAGTCTGTTGTAAAGTACTTTTTCAGGGGACAGGTAGTCGCTCATTTTAAGGTTATCTGATAAAACAGCCTTGGTGGACTTAGTGGATTGTGCACGGACCATGCTAAGATTTGGCATTCTGGGACACTTCCTTGTGCCTTCGTGGGGCAGATATAAACCAAACAACCCGGCAGACTACCAGTTGCTGCGCCGAAGTTTGAGCATGAAACTTAAAGATGAGGTTTAAAGTCGGCCGGCAGGTCGACGACTTACTTCTGTTCAAATGAAATCATTTCAATCATCGAGATGGCGAGAGGTCCGATTCTACAACGCAAGCGACGATCGGGTCCAAAGGTTAAAACAGGATGCGGAACTTGCAAGTAAGATCAAATTGCCCTCTTGTAGGCGGGACACCAACTTACACAGCTTTCAGAACCAGGAGAATCAAGTGCGACGAGGCCAAACCGAGTTGCCAACGGTGTTCAACGACCGGACGAAAGTGCGATGGGTACAGTAGCGATATTATGATTTCCAGTCAGAAATTCACGGACTGTATAAACCTCATTCAACAAATCTCTGTCCACATACCCGGGAACGCAGAAGAAAAAAGAAGCTTCGATTTTTTTCTTCGAAATACAGCAGCGGAGCTATCTGGATACTATGATTCCTCATTTTGGGGAAACCTTATACTGGCTGCTTCTACAAAAAAGCCTTCTTTACGGCACGCCGTGATAGCACTAGGAGCCTTGCATGAAGACTTCTCACGGAAGAGGCTGCAATCCGCTCCATCATTCGAGAACCAAAACACCCAATTGGCACTAAGTCAGTACTCGAAAGCCATAGGAGCACTGCGGAGGTCTTTATCACATGGGAAAGAAGAGCCGCTCACGGCGCTCATGGCCTGCATACTGTTCGTCTGCTTTGATAGCCTGCGAGGCTATTATGAATCAGCAATGGTCCATCTTCAAAGCGGGCTTGGAATTCTGCGGGATATAAGGAAGTCTTCTACAAGGAATCAAATCATCGAGGAAAAAATTGCTCCTCTTTTCAGGAGACTGTCGTTACAGTCTATCATTTACGTTGAGACGAAAAGTAAGCATGATAAGATAAACTTTGTTGAAAAGTTGATAGACGTCTCCGGGAAAGATGGTGTAATTTTTGAAAAGTTTAAAAGTATAGAAGACGCTCGGAATGCTTTAGATGAAGCCATGGATGGGTTATTCAGGTCATTCTATATGATGGAGTAAGCAAACTATGTCCTTCTATGTTGAAGCTTCGAAATCAATTCCATTTACTAAGCACATGCTAACTTGAAAATATACAGGCGTTTCCTACCTATCATTTTACAACCCACAGAAAGCCTCGCTACATTCGACAAATACACATCTCATTTATTCCTCTGGAACCTTGCATTTGAACAATTTATGTTATCCAAAAGCAAGGATTTCACCAGCAGGGAAGTGCAAGGTGCTGCACTCTTGAAAATACATCACACGACTTTGAATATCATGGCTAGCATGTTTCCTGACATCAGTGATATGACAGTTGTGATTGATATGGTAGACACAGATAGGTTCTTGAAATATCTGGACGACTTTCAAATCATCATCGACTTGTCAAGGTCGCTAATCGTAGCTGCGGAACAGGATGCGATGAACGGAAGGCCGCCGCTTACTTTCAGCAGTGATTTTGGCATTATAGGACCGCTTTATTACGTCTGTATCCACTGTCCTACCCCCTCCATTCGAGAGACAGCAATGGAGCTAATGTTAAGATGTCCGCGACGAGAAGGGATGTGGGATAATGCAATTGTCGCTCAAATGATCCAACAATTCTGGGAACTGGGAGCAAGGCACAAAGAATCGCAAAATATGGGTTTTGAATTAGATGAAAATGGATTGCCAGTGCCTTTCAACGACCGGGGAATTGTTCACTACGCATTTTTCGGTCGACCAACAGCAGTGAAAACAACTGACCTCTGCCAATCTACTCCTGCAGACTTTTCTCCTTCTGAGCCAGTGAAATTTCCACCATCTTGGGGATTGTGACCGAATCTAACGACGGATGGGAATAGGACACGTCAAAATACAGAAGCGGGCGCCCTAACTTTGCTGGGTGAAGTAATTGCACAGTAACATGGTCTGTACGGACACGTCATCGATACAATACGTCCATCGAAATGGCACGCGCTAGTATTTGATTGATTCCGTCTCTATTAGCCTATCGTGGTGTCGAGGTTGTGCAGAATATGAGAAAAACCTAGTGGCGCGAGATAACAATCAATGTACTACTGAGCACGTATGCATATGTAAATTAAGGATTTGAAAAACATGTTGTCAAACATTGCATGCTCGGCCATGTTTGGAATGAAGTAAAACAGAATATTTTCTCCGAGTGCGCGGGATCAGGGCAAAGGACATGGGCGCGACTAGGCGGCAGAGGAAAGCTAGAGCGGCACTCGGCAGCATCGACGAAACGATCAACAGTGTTATCAGCGACTATAATTCTCTTGCTGCATATTGATTTACTGGTATTAGAATAGCTTTGGAATAATTATATACTGATCAAATCAAACCTATATAGATTTGCGACGAATGTATTAAGACACTGGAACCTTGTGTTTTTTTCTTTTCACCCTGAAGTCGACTAAGTAGACCTTTCATTGTGCCAATGTTCTTTTTGTTTTTTCTTCGTCCCTGGAAATGAGTTCAACAGTTTCTATCTATGCAAGGACGGGGTATCTTTACTGTTATATGGGAATTTTCAAGCATTAGTTCTTCGGGGATGGTACATATGGCAGATCAATTCTGTAAATAGTAATGTTATTCCGGATACAGTGTCCTAAATGTTTCCGTTTCTTGAGCATGTAAATATCTTTATTTTAGCGAGCTTCAAAGCTCCTCGAAATTCGAAGTTCATGACTATCCTGTCGAAGCGAGAATAGTATGTCCGATGTGGCTCTTTGTTTTTCTCATGTTATATTATCCGTCGATTAATTTCTTGTGGGAGTTCCAGTTTGTCTTTAGAGTAGGAGATAATGAGTGCGGTTTAAATTTCTATCAAGTCTCCTTGAGATAAATAAGGTTACGTATTGATGTTATTGTTTGTTGTCCTGTCGTTTAGCATCATTCCCCTATTCAGATTGAATCAAAAAACCATCAAAGGTTAGTTTATACTGATGTTGTAACCTAATAATATTAATCGCATACAGGGTCCTCTATTGTAGCTAGTGCTTCGAATCATAAAATACCAATCTATACTACCTACCTAGTATGCTTATAATATATATATCTGAGAAGATATAACACTTAATAATTGAGAACATTTTAACCTCATGAAGGATTTTGTTAGAAATTTTTCTGATTAATGTTTCTAGTTACGATGTGAGTGAATCAAGCGCTGGATATTAGTGTTCTGGATATACTATATTCGACTGGGTAATACGATTTCAATTCTACAGAATAACAACGACGTCATCATTCTAGTCGAGATTATTTCACTCTCAAAATTCACTTTGCAAACTTCGATTTCACATTTTTCTTTTCACTCATGCAGTCATTGTATTTAGTTGGTATGATAATGATGTATTTATTCATCGATCCTATCAATATTCCTCGGAACCCTGGATAGATACAAAATGGGACGAATAGACTTTCAGCCCATCATATATCACTCCCCATCCGCAAGTTCCGCCCACACAGGCTTTGCATATTGAATTTCCCAAATGCATAGCCAGGTCCTCTCCCAATTTCTCCGTCACATCTTCATCCTTGCCATAAAAATAGTCCCGTGCTAGTAGCACTAGCACTGCTTCTCTATGCGCCTAAAGATATGACAATCCGATCATATCATATCCCTTCTGCTAGTCCCAGCAGTATCCCCCCCACGAATGACTTTTCAGAAAGACATTCCTCAAATCTCGAGCGACATGCGTAAGAGCGTTTGGAAGAAGCTCACGAGAGCCCAAAGACCAAAGATGGCCGCGGCGAGGATTAAGAAGACCAAGATGCCTTCGACAGTGTTGGTGTAGACCGATCTTGGTGTGCAGCACATGGAAATCATCTTGAATGTTTTTGATTGGTTCTATTTGTTCGTGTGTGTTCGGAAGTAGTGGGTATGGGACTTTTTGATGGATTTATTGGTGGGTTTGGTATCCGAAAGTCTGGTTTATGGTTTGGGTGATTGGTAGGTAGGCGACTTTTTCTTATTCGAAAATCCGATTTGGAGATTGTTTGAGTTCTCGAGTTTGGACTGTTGAAGAAGAAGAGAGAGGAGATGAATTGAATGGGTTGGATAGATCGGGAATGTTGGGTGCTTATAAAGGGGAGATGTAAGAGGGTTCGGTATTTTGTATATGTTTACGGCGATGAATACCTTGTGCAGTAGCCGAATGAATCAGTTCAGTACGAGATCTTGCATCGCTACCTACTTATACTGTTTCATAAGTCAATGTTCTATTCATTGAATGATATTGATTCTTATATAAGCGAATGTTTATCTAGGCTTCAGAGCTCATATATTTTAGAGTGTGAAGCCTGATAGTGTAAACTAGAAGACTAGTTTCCACCCTGAAATATGTGACTTCACTTGATTATATGACCGTATTCAAACTTACGAGAGATAGATTCACTTACTAGTTATCTCATAATCAGTTACTTTGATACTATTTCCTAGTCAAGCGAGGATGAGTTGAACCTTGGAAGACCGTAGTCACCTAATATACCAGTAAAGAGTTTTTTGAAAAATATAGCCATATGGATGATAGATATCGCATGTCAAGAAACAAGTGATCTAGCGGATTTGCATAAATACATATAAAGTGTGACATTCTTCAGAACAGGAGGGTGTTTACTACTTTGATTATACGGCAGATATATAACGTAAATTCATACGGCTATTAGCTTAGAAATCATAGTTTCTGAAGAGAGAGACAGCAGACGGATTTTAGAGTGCCCACTCATTGAAGTTTGAGAATATAGATTCGTATATCCATTGTTCGGATATTATTTTCTATTCTCGTACTATTTGATAGGATGGAATACATTAAATGACTCTACAGGGTGATGGGAATTAAGATCTGATTTGATCTCAGTTTTTTGAAATGTAATGAAATATCGTGATATGTATACATAGTGGGTAGGAGAGGTATTGATGGATCAGTAATAAGTCATCAAGGAGAAATAAAAATAGTCATCATAACGTTAGACTTTCGACGTTCGACACGGGTATAATTCAGAAAATGATGTTAGCGCTAACAACATTATGCCCGAACCCTAAATAGAAGGACTAGAAAACAAATCGCTAAGACATATATGCATCTCGTATTGTTATTATCCTTCTCTTCAATTCACTTTTTAAGGAGGTCGAATTTCGAATCAGGGATTTGCGACTCTTGTGGTGTATGTTGCTAGCCACCGGGATACTCTTCCATGATTGAAGGCAAGTAGAATGAGAGGTACCGACACCGCGAAGGAAGTTCCTACTACGATGATATTAGTGGGAAAACATTGCAGTGTCGCGGTACAACTATTTTCATGGCATGGATACATACACATGTACTTGAGAACATAGCTCATGGGCAGCTTCCCATTATGATCCAGGGGGAATTTGTCCATTTCTATAGCAAAAAATGCTGCTACGAACGATAACGGTAGCTGCTGCGGTCAGATGATGTCTCTAGTAGTGAAGTGGCCACTTACAAACAAAATAGTGACCACTGTAAAGATCATGAGAGTCTTCCCTTGTTGCGAACCTTGATCAGCCTGCACTTGTGCAAATCTCGCAAGCTCCAAACTTTCGGTTGCTTGTCTATTCGCCGAGTCAGCCTCTGATATGTTGGCTTGCTTTTGTTTGAGATCGAGGAGGTGGTTGAGCTAATGACAATGTCAGCATTCCTTTGTCCAAATTATGTCTGGCTTGATGGAAGCTACTGCGATATATGTCTTCTCTGCCAATTGATCCATGTGATCAATTCTATGCAAATGATTCTCGATCACTTTATTTTTTTCCACCATAAATTCGCCAGATTGGCTTTTACCTTTGTCCCTGTTGCCGTCTAAAATCTGGGTTAATAAATCTACGATTTCCTGTGAGCTTCTGCTATCATCGTTCTCTTTGTGGCGCTAATTCGTTTCCGAACTTGATAGACTTTCTTTCCTGCCTTGGGAGTCCGAAATTCCTGTCATCATCCTGAATAAGCTCTTCTTCTTACTATTCTCTTCATCTGGAATGACCAAGTCAAGCGATAATTCTGGCTTGTCTAGACTTTGATTCACATCAGGTTTTGTCTCTGGCATTGCAGCAATTTTCCCTGCCTGAATACTTTCTTGTACTCGGGCATGGCCTCTGGCTACAACTGATGCGAAATCATTCATAACATTCAGTTGGTCTGTCAGAACCATGCGCAAAATTCCAAGCTCATCACGGATATCCTTTATTTCCACCAATAAATGAGTCTCCGCTGTGATGTTGAAAGATGGCTTTTCTGGGTTCCCAATAGCCGCGTTTGCGCGGTCTAGCGTGTGAGCAAACTCCAAATAGCACTTTGCTTCTTTGTCAATCTACAGTTGTTAGCTATCCCCTAGCTCAATGTTAGAGAGGTACCTACCAACGACCCGATAGAGCGCTCAAAGAACTCGAAAAACTGAAACTCGTCCGGGATTTCGTGAGGATTGAAAACGTTTGCACACATATCCGTGATCAGTTTTGCCAGCTGGTATGCAGATTCAATTGAAGGCCGAGACGACTTTTGCAGGTGTCTCAAAATCATTTGATGCACGTCCAATGGGCTCTTATCTCGAGGCACTTGGAATTGATTCCCCCCATCAAAGTCGCTAGGCTTATTGTGAAGACTCTCCGTGTTTGATGTAGGCACATCATTCTTGTTAGAATTATTGTTGACGGTATGATTTGGATTCTCTTGTGTGATAGTTTTTTTGGAGCAAATTCGAGCAGTGGAATCATGCGGATTCGGCAACCCAATATTCTGTGCATCCCAGCGTTGAGGGAAGCAGCTTATTACAGTATCTTAGTTACGAATCGTCAGCAAAGTCCATGGCATCCATCTCAGATTCTCGCTTACCATCGTTAATAATCCAGAGCCACAGCTGGTCTACCATAAACATTTTGGGGTCACTGCTATTCTTTGTAAACCGATACACTATTTGATCGTTGTCTCTGGTCGAATGAGAGACGTTTTCAGATATCTCGAGATGGGTATAGAAATATTGATCAAGAGTCCGTCGTACTTGAATAGAAGGGATTCGTTCCGAAATCCCCAGTGGCAAATAGCCGTTGATTAAACACTCGTCAGGCGTCATTTCCTCTGGTTTGAGTGACTCTCCTGCATTTACTGCATCTCCAACTCCTCCTCCATGTTCATCAATGCCTCTCTGCTCTGATATTGATGGCTGAATTGCAGCGTCTTGCTTTCTGTAACTTTCAGGTCGAATTTCAAAGGTTCTTTGATTCCCAAGAGAATGTATGTTCTCATCAGCAACATTCGTATCTTTACCTGTGGTTTCACTGGCTCTTTGAATTTTTACACCCAGTCCATTAATTGGTTCTGATTCGGGATTCTGATTAATGTTATCAAAATTCCTGCAATGTGCGCCCTTTTCCATATCATGATCACCAGTATTAGCTTCCCATTTCACCGATCTACCTTTTCTCATATTTTTGAAACTCCGAGTAAGCTGATGAAGAATCTCTTCTACAGATATCTGAAGTCGACTTCTTGTAGTTGGTTTTTGCATAGTCTCACAATTTTCAATGCAGACCTTCTCATCCGAATTCGCGTTTCCCTGGTCTATCTGGCAAGCCTGGGGACTCGACAAGTCTTGTCGTTCTCTAACTTGTCGTATAGCCCTAGCCATCTTCAGGTACGCCCTATGAGTTTCGAAGTGGAGGTAGGGAACATGTTTCTCGTATCAGTCATTGAAAACTAGGCGTCTTGTGCCAGCTGTGCTTACGAATATCATAACTTGTTCACCAACAGCTAACGTATCCGATGACATTCCAAATTTTGATACAGGTTGCTAGACCAACAGAGGTCAATCATCCCGTTCCTTGGAAAATACTAGATGGTTATTTTACCTCGAATGCACGGCATATTGGCCGCATGAAAGTAGAATGGGCAGTAGTTGTGCAATATTGTCGGCGAGCAGAATTCGTTAGCGAAAGATTAGATCTCGACTCACTGATCAAAGTAATACCACGGTCTTGAAGTATACGGGCTGTCAATGCCTAAACACCAGTCAAGCGCAAGTTAGCAATGCATAATAGAGCTGCGATCTAAGATATTGTACCTCCACCCATTCCATCTGATGTGTGATTAGTATATACACTAGAATCATTAGTACATCAAGTAGGGCTGCTTACATTGTTTGCTGGGAGATGATACCATCTCAAGCGAGGACGATTGTCAGAATATGATTTATCCATTATCGCCTGTGGGCCTGTGGCTCCGTAAAGGATCTCATAGATCGGCTTCGTAACATGGACTCTTTGCTCGCGATCAGCAACAAAAAAGTCAACGATATTAACTTCAAACTCATGACAAGCAAAAACTTTGCTGGCTCTCTCATTAGAGTTCAGGATATGAAGCTCCTCGTATGCCTTCGTAGATAGAGAGTATCGTGTTTATTCCCAAGCACCGGTGGCCCATCGAGGACCTGATGAGAACGCAGTAGTTCTTTCAATTCATTGTCTCCTTCTACAAGCAAGTCGACTGCTTTGCCACTGTTGAGCAGAATGGCTTTACTTGCCCCGCGCCTTAGGAGCAGTTCAGCAAGATGTAGATCGCGTTTCATAACGGCAGCGAATAATGGGGTAAATCCATCGACATTGGTTGTCTCTATGTCGGCCCCCGCATCAATAAGTATCCTAGCTACTTCTATTCAACCTCCTTCGACGGCCTGATAAAGCGTCGTGCACTTCGTCAAGTTGTTGAAAGACTCCACATTGGCCCCATGTTGGAGAAGTAACTCGACAATGGGGGTGCAACCAGAGGCAGCTGCAATATACAATAGCTTACAACCGTCCGAATCAGCAAGCTCAATGGTATAGTGAGCATACACTCCAAGAAGATTGCGCACACGGTCATGCTCCTTGCTTTTTACTGCTTCGTAGAGTGCGTTGAAATTTCCTGAATCCTGTTCGGTATAATTTGGTATGGCCAGAGACCTGATACGTGCAGGTTCTCTGCGGTACTTGGGCTGGGCAACCATGGCAAAAATTTCCAAAGGTTAAGAATTTAATTCCAACAATACTGGTAAATCGAAGTTGTTACCCCCTTATAGATTTGTTGTCATAATTTATTTGAGGAAGAATGAGCTACGCTCAAGCTTGAGTGTTCGCATTCTTCTACGTGTTTATCTAGTGTTCAAGGCGCACCGAGAGCCTGTCTGCACAGGAGCATTTTCTCATGTATGCAAATGCTGGTGACCGAATACATGGTTCCACAGACGCAATCAGCCATATACGCAGCTCCCATACGATGGACACCTATAATGCGTTAAGCTGAATGGTTAGAGTTATCATGATGAGGGCTGATAGGGGGCCACCACTGTAACCACACTCTTAATGACATATCATTGTATGCAAATCGTGTATCACCTTTGTCCTTGAGCGAATGAACTATAAAAGATCAGTAGAATTATAAGAAATTTGATTATTGACAGGTAGGTAGGTACTCAATTTTTGTCTTCATGTCTTTCAGCGTCAACTTGGCGCTGAGGGGAAATTGATATAACTACCTAGGTAGCCAGGAGTTTCATAGTGTTACTAGGAAAAGAAGTTTGTATGGTACTCACTATAAGACAAAGTAATTAGAAACATCCCAATATACAAGTTTACAACTTTACCTCAATACCTACCTATACCTATCTACTTACACATATAAATACATACAAAAAGCTACTTTAAAACTATTCCTCTTCAGATATCCTCAACAACTCCAGCTATCCTTAGAAAAAATATTACTCTACCCGAATCTCGATATCATAACCATAACATCATCTCTCTCATCATCATCTCTCTCATCAAAGCGAAAAGCATATATAATCTAATGAATAATCTAATAAACACTCTCCCTTACAAACTAAACAAAAAAAAGAAGACAAACGAAAACTTAATAAATATAGATGAAGAATGCGAGAAAGGATTTCCAAATTTCCAAATTTCTAAATTTCACTATTAGCTGATACGTTCTAATTATAATTTTACTTTACTTGTAATTATATGTATTTATGCAAATGGATAAGATGGATGGATGGATGGATAGATAGATAGATGGATATACCTCTCTCCACTTCTCTCTAAAATCTAAGAAAAACAACTCTAATGAAAACAAGAATGAAAACAAGAATGAAAACAAGAATGAAAACAAGAATGAAAACAAGAATGAAAACAAGAATGAAAACAAGAATGAAAACAAGAATGAAAACAAGAATGAAAACAAGAATGAAAACAAGAATGAAAACAAGAATGAAAACAAGAATGAAAACAAGAATGAAAACAAGAATGAAAACAAGAATGAAAAAGAAATGAAAAATACCATTGAACTAGACATTACAACTATTTCCCCTTACAATTTCTGCGTGTTGTTTTCCTCCCTTCACCTCTCACCTTGTCGTCATCGACACTTCTCTTCTCTATTAAACCACTTCACTATATCTCCCATTCATTTCTCGTCTCTCCTCTCTCCTCTCTCACCCTCATCTCCTTTCACCCCTCCAACCTATCACCCGTCCAACCTATCACTCCTCCACCACCCCACCACCCCACTTCCATCTCTTCCCCCTCCAACCTATCATCCCTTTCCCTTGTCACCCCTCTCACCCCCTCAAAGTCGGATCCCCACACTCCAAATCAAACCACACATTCGGCACACTCGGAATAATGCTATCCAAGCTCTGCGCCACGCTTCCTCCAAAGAGATCACATCTGGGTGCGCCCGTGCCGGGTTCCGGATAGAAGGAGTAGGATACGCATCCTTTGTCTATGCCGTAGACGCCCTTTTGTGGTGATTAGTTACATCATTCGAAAAATTTCGAAACTTCATTTTCAAGTGAAGATGAAGATGAAGTGAAGAGGAATAGAGCAAGGGGGAAGAGAGAAAAGAAGAAGACTCAATCAAGATAGGAAAATGAACAAACAAGCGCAAGAAAAGAAAAGAAAACCCAAAACTCACATCACAAAACTCCCAACATCCCTGCAACGTAACCGGTACCCCAGCCTTATCCTCCACAAACTCGGCGAGGAAATAATCTCCAACGGGTAAACCATGGAGTCCGCAATGGACAGCGGCGGGATTCGGGGTGCCGCTGGCTTGGATGGTGGTGACGGTCGTGGTGAAGGCGATGGTGGTGCTGGGGTGGAGATCGGTGGTGCCGGTGGAGATGGGGAGGGCGGGGAGGGAGGAGGAGGAGGAGGTGGATGAGATGGGAGTGGAGAGAAGGAGAGAAGATGAGGATGAGAGGGACGATGAAGATGAGGAATAGGGAATCGTAGTTGTAGAAAAAAGAAGAGTCGTCGAAGTCGATTCTTGAGTAGAAGTCGCTGGAGTCGATGTTGCTGATATCAATGACGATGTTGACGACAATGATGACAATACCCACGATGACGAATTACCCGATATAGAAGGTCCTGCACTCACACTAGTCCCCGTTCCTGTTTCCAGTGCCGAAGAAGAAGTCACACTCGCGTTCCCCAGACTCGTCGTCCAAACTCTGCTCGATGTCTCCACTGGAGTAACTGTCCAAATCCCCGTCGAATTGCCTCCACTAGTCACTGCTCCCGAAGGCGAGCCCGAAGGCAACGGTGTGGTGGTCCAACTCGCCGATGCGGATACGGGGGTTGTAGATGGTAAAGGAGTGAGAGTCCAAGAACCGCTCTCGATAACAGTAATCCATTCTGTGCTAGTGCAGCTTTCGGTAACGGTAACGATGCTGGTGGGGAGTGCAGAGCAGAGAGTGAGTGATGTGTTGTCGATGATGAGGGTTGCTGAAAGGGTGGATGTTGGTGATGGTGATGTTGATGTTTCGATTACAACGGGAGTAGCTGAAAGAATTGGATCTGTAACTGTAGAAACAATCGAAACTGTAGTCGAGAGACCTCCACCTGCCGAAACCAAGACATTTGTTGCCAAAGAGCTAGCAATAGACGAGCTCGATACAAATGTCGAAAAGGAAGTACCAGAAACCGTAGTACTAGTTCCTGTTTCTTCAGCCACCAAATGCGGGTGTGTAAATGGTAAAAGTGATCGAATCGAATTGTTGGAATCATCATCATCATCGTCGTCGTCATCGTCGTCATCATCATCGCCACTCCACGAACCACCTCCATGTCCATGTCCACCTTTTCCCGAATCAGTACTCCACGGCCAACCCCATCGTTTTACTTGAATTTGTTCCTGAGGATTCTTTAGTAAATTTACAAATATCTCCATTCAAAGCAAAAGATAAAAAAAGAGGGGATTCAAGAAAGCGAAATAACATACAATTTTCTCGCTCGGTTGAGGAACCGCCGAAACGACATTGGACAAAACGGCGATAGCGCCGACAACAGTAAGAAGCTGCATTGTACTTCCGAATTAACTTGAGATGTAAACACTAGCCAAATAGCAAGCTAATAAGTAGAACCTTTAGTAAATATAAGGAAGTGTAAAGGAGTACCAATCAAGTGATTAATATCACCAAAGAAGAGAGTGGAGAAATGAACGACTTGAGATGAAGGGAAAAGACTGTGATTTCGTATTCGAGCTACTATCTAGCTATTCACTTTTTGAAAGGATATTCATCGTATCTTATAAGTATATCGAGAAACACTTCTCTTCTCTCAATAACCCTACTCCTTGGTAGATTATTGATAGTATTCTCATCAAGGCGAGGGACACCATCAACTCATAAGAAAGGGGGTTCCAAGTGCAAGGGAGCACAAATATTTACCGAACCAAGGCAAGGAAAAGAAAGTAGAGCAACAAATAATTCACATACACTTCACAAATTCAAATTCATCTCGCCCTTTCATAGTAGCTAACGGACTGTCATTCAACCTAATCATCCATGCCACTTTCGTTATTCCTATTTACAGTTTGGGAAAAATTCAAATAACCTCTGCAATGCTACCATACCAATCCCTTGATAACGCCGAATATAATGCTCCTTGGGAAATAAACCCATTCCCTCAAAAATGCTGAAGGGGTATCGTACAATAATGTATGAGCAAGGGAAAGTACTGATTGACATTCAGTATTCCAATTTTTGCTAGATATGCAGATCTAGACAATTCGACTGTGGAGTACAGCAGGGACGAATCGGAATTTTGTACTGAAGCCGTGTAATTTGAACAGCGCATCCCGTAAACAACTGACTTCTTCAGTCCATAATCTCCTCATGAAACAAAACTTTCATAGACCATTCGTCATCGTGGTATCGTGGTTCAACAATCTCAATCCTCCCAAATAGTATCTAGATTCAAATCACCTCGTCTTTCAGCGCCACAAACACTCCAACGTTTTCTCTTGTCTCGTGTACCAAACCCTCCCAAAACTCTGTTACGCCCTCCTGAAGTATCTAATCCTCTGGATTTGGCATCTTCACCTTCAAACCCATCCGCCGCATCTGCTGCAGCTTTCAACTGAGCAATTCTCTCTGCTTCCAAGGCAGCTTCTTCTGCATCTGGTGTATCAGGTATTGTTTCCAAACTGGATATACTTGGGCTGCGAGATCGAGTCGAGGTAGGCGTGGAAGGAACTGACGAAGATGCATATGAACCAGGATAATACAATGAACTGGTGGGATTATTGGATGTGAGGTAAGATTCGCCGAATTTCATAGTGTGGTATGATGGGGATGAAGTCGACGAAGTCGATGAGGATGGTGTCGTGGGTGTTGTGCCACTGTAGAAAGGACTTGTTGGTGCAATCTGTCGTAAAGGAGAGGCTGGTCTTCGTACTCGTGTATAACTACCATTGGAAGGTATACCCAAAATTGGTGAGGCACTTCGATCTGCCATTTTTGGAGTATCTTCCTCTATCGCTGACTGTCCATCTTCACTAATATTGATCAAAGCACGGTTCGGAAAGCCTGGGAACACTTCATCTGCTGGTTTTCTGGGTATGCGAACTCGAGCTGGTGAACTCAAAGGACTCGCGGGTCTCTGAGGAGACATGAGTAAATGACCAGCCCCATTTACGCCTGGGAGTGATTGTGCGCGCGACATTGGA